CGTAAAAGTTCTGTGTTGTATCTCTCTATCTACCCTGGACCCTTTTTGGAACCGGGCCAGGATGACTCCCACCACACATGACGTCACTAATGATGACGTACATATTGTGGTGGGAGGTCCAGGGGGTGGAAATAATTAATGGGGGTGGGGTAAATACATTGTGGGGGTGGGGGTGTGGTTTTTACATGATAAATGGGACGTTGCATGATAAACATTGCATATCAAAAATACATATGTATCTGGAAATTCTCCAAAAGGGGAAGACCGAGATGCGCTTTCCTGACAGTGATTAATGTGTTTATGTTGCAGGCAATGTGTGAAATCATGGATGACACAGATTGGGATGCATATGTTATGCATAATGCAGAGTTACATGGTACGGGAAATGCATACAATTTTACAACATGCTTTATTTCTCAGACACAAAAATGTGCAGATATGCAGATTCAGGGGTGGTGGCTAATTAGCTTTATTCACATTCATCTTTCATCCATTTTATCAATTTTATTCAATTAAAATGGTCAAGAAAATAATAATTTCCGCAATAATTTTTGCTGCAAACATTGCAATTGTGTTTGCTGATTGTGCAATTCTGCATAATTGCAAAAACTGTGTATCAAGTAAAGAGTGCACATTTATCGTTACTCGTTCGTACGAACACAAGTGTGTACACAAATCGGAGCTGAAAACGCAATAAGTACAGGGTAGCCACGATGTTTTTTAGAATCTGCTAAGCGCCTAGATGAAGGATCCATTCTTATTACCGTGTAAAACTCAAATTTGGATATACCGTTTCGAGGAATATCCCACTTTTTTAAGCGCTGCCCAAATTCGGGAAGGTTTCGGTGCCTTATGTTTATGAGTCATGTCTCAAGCCCGAAACATTTTTATAGGAATGTCAAGTTGTTCTTCTCATACCACTTATCACGGGCCACCAAAATATGTTAAATTGAGTCTTCTAGCCTCACCTAGCAATAATTTACTATGCGTAGAAAGTGATAGACGAAATTGCAAAAAATCTGGGCTTGGCAATGAAACGGGGAAATTCACCGAATTTCCTTCATCTTCGCCCAATCGAAATATTTTGGGCTCTTTACACGAGGGCACATTCTAAACTATCCAAGACTACTCATACTTTAGGAAAATTTCGTTTCTGGTGGAAACAAATCAACAATGAAGTTGTCAAGTCTTCTGGAAACTCACTTATGGCGGACGACAGGGAAAGGATGAAGTACGAAGCGGACGATGGCCTAAAATCTAATTGGTTTATGGAAACAAAAACTTCGACACCAGTACTACATACTGGCAAAAATTAGAAGTTCTGGACAAATTTTTTGACTGCTTTTAGGTCGAAATAAAAAGTGTCTTAATTCCCAGGATCCCTTCTATACCATGCAACCCTACCGCGTGGTAACATTATAGTAACGCATTGTCTTCTGAGAGTAAGAAATTGCCTCCGGTACCAGTAATATTTTTATTACCTGAGCCTTGACATTAGGGGCTGAACAGGATTTAGGCTCTGTATATATGTTACCCTTCGTTGATAAATTATTACCCGAGCGGTTGAGTTGCATAGTATTTACCTCCGCCGGTAACAATTACGTCAAAAAATTATTGAGAGTGTAACATTAAAATTAATTATTTATGTATCTCGGCCAAGTATACGCTTTCCCCCATCATAGTAAATGTTCCGGCAAATGTTTCGTCTCGTAGAGGCCGCCCTTCACAACAACCTTCCTCCTTGCGTTGGCACCCTTCTTGTGAATCAACATCTTGGTAGTTGCCGTGTTATGTGATCGCATGGAGCAAAGTTCCTCTTCAAGATCGATAAGGTCAATAACCTCGTTTTTCTTGAGGTCAACCAGACAGTGGAGGAAGCATAGCAGCCAGCCGCCATGCGTCACTACGAGAAAATTCTCTTCCTCTGAGGCGTCTGCTAGTTCACAAAGCATCTAAAAAAAATTTGGTTGTACTTTTACCATTCCAATTTTTGTGATACTAAACAATCTACATATCGGTTGTACTAATTCATATAAGACCTAAATATGTGCAAAAAATTCAGACTATCTATTAACTTGTGTGCAAAAAAATAAATATGTAGATATTTACCTATGGCTATATCTTGCCAAAACGATTTTTGACATATAGCGCGATTTAACCATAATTATTTAAATACATAACATACCATATGTAAGTAAACACCTTGCATATAAAGGGTGGGCAACTTAAAAGTGGTACAGCACCTGGTCGAAAACTGTTGGGTTTAGAATATCATAAAATCAAAAGGGCTGGAGGAATTTGAATGAAATTTTCCACACTTATTAACAACTAAATACCTAGTTAGTCTTGTGATAGCACCCAGTGCTCTAATTAGTTTGATTTGACAGTAGTTATATACGGTTTTATAGCATGCTGAATTCTGCACCATACAACTTTTCGCATACCTAAAATTAAATAGTTCCCAACTATCGTCCCGCGAGGATTACGTTTCATTTATTTCACGTAGTACCACCCCACATAAGTTGGCGTTAATTAGGAAAAATATTGACCCTGTGCGAATAAATGTACAGGGTGGAGGAATTTTTTTTGTGAAACATTAAAAATGTTTTGCGTTTTTCAAAGCTTTGACTACCTGGGGAGGACTTTTGTTTTGTTTTTGATGCCAAACCCTCCAACGGGATGCTTTCTAGGTAACTTATGTCAAATTAGCTAAATAACAATTCGTTTGGCCTTTCAAGGATAAATAATTTTCAACTTTCCGTGTCACGTAATCAAGGATTTCTATTTTTCTGGAGAAATGCAAATTTTTTCAAATTTGTTTCTCTGCAATGGATAACTTAACTTGTCAGAAAAATTACAAAAATTAGAAAGAGTGGAAATAATTACGTATGCGGAAGATATCCAACGTGTTTCACCTACCTAACATTTTCTATAAATATGAATTTCTCACAATGTGTGAAAGATTTTGAGCTCTTTTTGTACCAGTCATTAACAATTCGTATGACATGTCATGTAAAAAATAGAAAATGATAGAAATCTTATCAGCGATACCAGAAATATGGCCAAAGCGTCACTGTACCACTTTTAAGTTGCCCACCCTTTAGGTATTTTTTTATTTTTTTTGTACATCTACATATGTAGGTCTTTTCTGAATTAAGCACCGATTGCACTTAGGTCTTTTCTGAATTACATAAACATCGACTGCACTTAGGTCTTTTACCAATTAGTACTACGATACATATGTATGCAAATTTTACATATGACACAGTAAAACCAATATTGCCAATAAAATAATTTTAAAAAAGCTTGCTTAGGCGAGGCGCTGCTAAAAGTGAAAAACAAGACCACTGGGCATATCTATTAAATATCTCGTACCATTATCCTTGTAACAGGAGTTGGCGGCTTTGCCTCACCACGAGGCCAAACATTTTGACCGTATAAGACCCCACGCCGTTTATTACAATAGCAACACACAAAGCTTCAGAGATCCGTGATTAATGAATTTTTTTGTTGGATTAAGGATTAGGGATTAATGCTAATCCAGGATTAATTAAATAATTTCATTTGCTTGGGTTAGAGATTAATTCACAATTTTCTGATTCGGGATTAAAAATTAATTAATCCTAATTAATTCTTGATTAAGGATTAGTGTAATTTTTTATTTCGGTGCACTTAATGCAGTTTAATAGTCTATTGCACAACATAGGCATATTGATACCGTATCAAAATGCCTATGCCGCTGGATTGGCGAATTTATTCGACATCAAAGAATCTGCCGGTGAAGATGAACGGCAAATCTTCAGCTCATCCTCAGATCACGCATTTATATAGAACAAAATTAACAAAGGTTGTAAACTTAAAGAATCTAATGCATTTTAATTTCGAGTGAGGAGAGTATGTAGAAAGATGAGGAGTAAGTGGTTGCTGTGTGTCACAATTTTTGCGGGTTTTATTTCAAGAAATTAAAATGTCAAGACATGAATAACGAAGACACCACGAGAGGGTGTATTACCTAATTGTATTTACATGATAGAGCAACTAGTTTTAAATTCGAATTACAAAGTAATAAATGATAATTTTGAGAATTCCCAGATTCTGTTTTTCCAAATATTTTATTTATTGCTACCGGCTTAGCATAAAATGTTTGGTATCGCGGTGATGCAAAGCCGCCAACTCCTGTTACAAGGATAATGGTACGAGATATTTAATAGATATGCCCAGTGGTCTTGTTTTTCACTTTTAGCAGCGCCTCGCCTAAGCAAGCTTTTTTAAAATTATTTTATTTCATGTATTTAAGGTGATACACATTTTGAGACAATTAATTGCACTACTCAAAATTGTTGCACTGTCTTTTAAATATTGTCAGCTTTTTGAAATGAGGACATTTGATTATGTTTTTAGTTAACAAATTAGTTGAACATACCCGCAGGAGGTCGCAAAATTAATTTCAATGGTTCAAAGGCTTTTAAGTCAAATATTTGATGATTGTTTTTGCTGACAGAGTTGGCTGACTAATAAGTGTTTTTTTCTCAGGCTTAGGGATCAAACAATCCAAATTGTTTAATTAATTTAGGAGTTAGCAATTTTCAGATTAATTATTCTGGGTTAGATTATAAATTGTAATATGAACTTACAAACACTTAAATCCAAAATATATCTATATACGATGCTCAAATTTAAAATCGAAAATGCCTGTTAAAATGAAGTATACATGCTTATGTAGCAATGTACCGACATTAAACGGATAGTTAATTTGACAGTACTTAATTATAATTATACAATTGTTGAAATATACAAAAGAATTTGCAATTAATCATAGTCCGGATCAATAATCATGAATCCCTAATCCGGATTTTTCCCAACGCTGACCAGGAACTTCCTGGCAGGAAGTATGTATGTATGTATTATGTGAGGAGGAGTCCTGCCCATAGGGGCAGCAGTCCAGCCGCGCAGGTCACCATTTGGACCTATTGCAGACACCTCAATACACTCGCATGCGATTATTGTGTCGGAGCCTCTCTCGATTCCCCAGCTACAAAGCTGGCGAATCTACCAGACCTTAAAAAGGCCAGTACATCTTTGAGAGGATACTCCCATACTTCCTCCATCTTTAAGGTGGAACGAAGGAAGGTGCTAAATCTCAGGGCACTGTAAGCGGGACAGTCTGGAAGTATATGAGCCATTGTCTCGTCCCCTTCCCCGCATTTTTCGCAGATGGGAGATTCAAGTAGGCCCATCTTATATAGATGCCCATTCAAATTAAAATGTCCTGTGATGGCAAAAGTTGTTAGCCTCATACCATCCCTCGTGGGCCCAAGTGATTTCCCACTGAGACCCTTGTAAGGTATTGGCAGGGCCAACTTTGATATCTTACAATTAAGTAAGTTAGACCAATAGACCCGATGTTCATTTTGAGCCCACTGTTTGATGGAAAATTTTCCAATTGTTAAGTTGACAGGGATAACTGGCTCTGGACCGCAGTTTGTCATACTGGCAGCTTCTTTAGCCAGTTTATCCACTTCTTCATTACCCCATAAACCCCAGTGAGAAGGGATCCAATGTAAGGTAATATCTTTGTGAATACTAAGTTGCTGCAGCGCCCTATGAAGCTCCACCGTGAGCGACGACATCAGCCGCTCACTTAGTAGGGAGTCATGGACACTGCGATTGTCAACAAAGATGTTCACTTCTTTGTGTTGATTTGGATTTGCTGACATGTAGTTACACGCCGAAAGAACTCCAATCTGTTCAGCCTGGAAGACCGTAGCATACACTCCCAAAGGTATAACGCCACTAGCCCCATCCATAAAGTTTCCGCCTTCACCAATTATGAAGGCTGCACCAGACCCACTCTTACTCTTAGACCCATCCGTAAAACAGAGGAGCCCAGGTAGTTCCAGGTAGTTGTCGCACATATCTAGCCATTCCTCCCGAGAAGCGACCCGTATTTTGAAATTACGAGCCTGGGGAGGTTTAACAGATTTATAATCATAAGGAAAGCCCAACTCAGGAATCTTCTGAGCCAGGCTAGAGCACAGTTCAATGTGAGTTCAATGTGGCAGGAAGTACGTGTCTAAATGTTTTCTATGCAAAGTTTTTGGGCGATTGGCCAAGAACAGTAATTTGGTAAACACAGTTGACAGTTACTTGTATCTAGAAAATTATTATATTGGTAACTAGCTAGAAATATTGTAATTCTGATAAAAAATGCTTAGCAACATGAATAGTTTCAGATGCCTCCATCAAAACTTTTTCAGTTTTGGATCGATCTCAGTCGGGTTTGTTTTAAATGACGCGCAACCGATTTCTGCGTGATAAAATCAGGTTTTATGTATATGGTCCTTTGGCGCAAGTATCTGAAATTTTGATTTCAAAGTTTCAAATCAAAATTTCAGAGCCAAGAATAAACTTTTCTATCGGGCATATTGAAAAACATCATCTCCTAATTCTCCTCTGCACGATTGCTCTTTACACCATTTGCGTAGGATTAACCGTTCAGGCTCTAGCCTCGCTGACAGTTTCAAAGGGTGTATACGAAAGCATACTTAGGCTTCGCCGTAACCATGGTGACGCTTTTTTTTGCGGGCAATCATGTTTACTTTTGCCTCACCTAAGAAAAATGTCTGCTTGAAGTTTTACATTAAAGAAAATTCCTGAGCGGGCCTTCACTTCTTGAAAACAGAGGTCAACGCCGCCGATCTCACGCCGCCGCGCCGCCATACGCCGATGGAATTATACGCGCCGCCGCCGCCGATAAATCTATTTCCCTATCCCTTCAACATTGAGGCGCCGCGCCGCGCCGAAAAATCCCCAAAATTGGCGCCGCCGCCGACGCCAAATTGGTCGGCGTTGACCTCTGCTTGAAAACTTTCTCCATTCGGAGTTTTGAAATAGGGGAAGTGATTCCCCGTTTGGCGGTTGACTTCCCAAAGTACCGATTCCGGTTGGAGTTCCAGATCACCGAAGAACTATTTAGGCAGGACAAAATTTGATAATAATTTTTTAAACCTATTTATTTCCCCAAAAACATGCATGCATCACACTTTCTTCCAACTCATCATGTAGATAAACGCTTTCTCTTTTACGTAGCAATTTATTAAGTAGCTTCAGCTACTTTATGCGAAGACTTTGTCTGTCCGTCCGTCTGTCTGTCTGTCTGTCAGCAGGGTAACGGGGGAACAGATAAAGATAATTAAAATCAGTTTTTGTCATCATACGCAAGACCCCAGGGGGAGAACCTTGTCAACGTTTAGGGTCATCCGACCACACCCATTTGGGGCCAGGGGGTGTGGTCGGGGCAAAATGAGATTCTTAGTGAAATTGAATCTATAGATAAAATTAAGTGAAATTGAATCTATAGATAAAATTCAGTGAAATTGAGTATTTTCGCGATGTCGTTGGAGTGGTTGGGGTGAGGTAGTCTGAAGCTACTTCCTTATGTGCGTTTACGATCGTTTATTTGACATTAAAATCAAATCGGTCACCACTTCTCGTAGACGTTTGTCGAAAACGGGAGAATGTTGTGTCTTATTCTTTGATTGCTTCAAGATTTGGACCGTGGTATCCTGACATCGCTTTAAATCGGAGGAATAAACCTTGGTAAATTTTTCATCCGCTAGATGGCGACCCAAATGTTCTGCCATGGCGATGCCCCGCTCCGTAAGTTCGCCCTGAGTTTGACCCTGGACTATGTGAGCAACATTGGCGACCGTTTCCCCGCTAAGAATGCAAATTATTAGAAAGCGAAATTTGGATAAGTTTTCTATGATAATTTGCAAACAATAAACTCACTGTCGTACCGAGAACATTTCAGACGAATTGTAGAAATGATGCTGATAAATATGTAGATTCCTCTCGTAGCGAACGATAAATGGACCAAGTTCGCTAAAATATTACAATTTAGTTGTATGCATGCATACTCTAAAAAATCAGCTAGGTATATGTAAATATGTACATACCGTAAATTCTTTATTTATAGCCGGGACTAAAATTCCAAATTGAGTGTCACAGACCCGGCTATAATTGGAGGCCGCACTCTAAAGAAAGTTGTAGAAAATTTTTACAAGGTTGTGTAAAATTTTGCCCTACATTGGGTAAAAAAGAGGATGACACAACCGTTGCTTAAATTTTACTCAACTTTGTTGAGCAATCTTTTTGCACAACTAAAAGTAAAATTTACTCAAGAAGTTGTGGAATTTTTGCTCAACTGAATGATTAAATTTTACCCTTTGGTTGATCAAAGTTTGTCTTTTATGCTGATCAAAATTCACTCTTATATTTATTAAAACATATTTTTATTTATTATTTGTTCTTTTATTTCTTATAAATGATAATAATTTTGCAATCTATGATTATCAAAAACTAAATTACGGGAACTAAAATAATTAAGCGTTTCACAAGAGCACTCTTCTGGAAATTGGAGTTGCAGAACGTAGAATATTTTGAAGCATGTATCCACTGCTTTTACAAGAGATTCTGCTAAAACGAGGCGTCTTTCCAACATGATGTAGGCTTGTTGAATCTCGAGGTTCTTCAAATTTCCGACATACAAAACGAATGGCTGTTCTCTCACTGATTCTGACAACCGAAATTCTTCCAAATCTTCATTTGTCTAAAAATTTAAAAGAAATAGGCACTTAAAAATTAGAATAAAAATTAGAACAAACAATTAATTAAAGAATGTATGTATGCTCACCTTTATGAATTGAATGAAAACCTCTCTAGCTACTGTAATTAACTTAAATTTGTGGCCATCCTACGGATAGGAAAATTTCAGCAAACAAACGTTCTTCCACTGATCCTTCGGCACCGTCCAGAAACTTTAAAAAAACGGACTTGTCAACATCGTTCTCTGTAAAAAAAATAAATAAAAAAATAAAAATAAAATAAATAATTTGATTCAAATTTGAGTTCATAACTATTCAAAAATAAGAGCAAATCACAAAAAATAAAAGAATACAACTTTACCTTTGAACTTATCTGCGTATTGGGCTAAGCCGGTAGATTCAAGAGCTTTTTCCAATCGCTGAGTCATTTTTTTAATTTCAAAGAAAGTTAAATTTATTTATTCTTGTTTCTCTTATGCATTATGAATGGCTGTAACCAACTGGAGGCATGCCTGTGGCTGAAAAATATGTCAAATGGGGAGAGTTGATTTTACACAACTATTGAGTGAAAATTTATCAACCTTTGGGCATTTATCACCCAACATTGATTAATTTTATATTTAATCAACAAAAAAGTCAATTTTTGTTCAATGTTGATTAAAACTTTCTTTACTCAACTTTGTTGTGTAAATTTTACTCTTCTGAAGTTTAAATTTTGTCCAACTTTGTTCAAAACTTGACCAAATTCACTTTACTCAACTGGATTTACTCAACTTTATTTAGAGTGCGGCTATATTTAAATAGAAACCCGGCTGTATTTTGTTTTGGTTCCAATTTGGATTTCAAATTTCAAATTTTGAAACGATATAAGTTCAGCTTACACAATTTGAGTAATGATTTTCTAGTTTTATCAATTATCAAAAGATCCGACATGTACACCGGTAGATTTTCTAAGGCTGATAGGCTGGGAATACAGAGACGTTCTGGGAAGCCATAATTAGAGACCCGGCTAAAATTTTGAAATCTTGGTCCCTATACCCGGCTATACATATTTAGAGACGGCTATAATTAGAATAGGGCTATAAATTTAGGTTTTACGCTACACATCTATCATCCCGACTTGGTGTTCTCCTTTTCCTTATTATTAGAAAATGTAGCGAGGAAAATTTGGCATACAAGATAAGACGGAAGAAAAATTTATAAATTTTATAAACAAGTTGCAAATGCAAATTGTTTTATACAAGTTGCATCCCATGAAAAGGAAGTACCCTAAAATGAGAATAAGGATAATTTGAGGGAAGCTATGCTCCTTGCAAAACTTGTCGAGCAGGATAATAAATACCTAATGCAGCATATTTTTCAGGAACAAAAATTGGGCACGTACACTCTTAGCAAAACGGTATTGAATTTAATTGAATCATCACCAAACGGAGTGCATATATGACTTAACCAAATTGTGATAATATTTACCCCACATTGTGATAAATCTTCCCCACAATGTGTTAAATCCTCACTATCCAGTGTTAAGTTTACACATTGTGGGGCAGATTTATCACAATGTGGGGTAAATATTATCACAATTTGGTTAAGTCATATATGCACTCCGTTTGGTGATGATTCAATTAAATTCAATACCGTTTTGCTAAGAGTGTACCCAATTTATGCACGTACCCAATTTATGCACGTACCCAATTTATGCACGTACCCAATTTATGCACGCACTCAATACGTATTTACACAAATAGAGTGAAGTAATTCATGTACAAAAATATTGATCCGGCCATGAACTTGCCTGACCAACTTCTAAGGAACCTTTACATGGTGTGTGCAGTGTTGTCGCGAAACTATTTAAAAACGGTCTTACACGTGTCCAATAAAATCAAAAAGTAGTAGGGCACACGTGTAACAGTGTTTGTTCTCAGTGTGCCCCAAATTTTTCAAATCCCCCCAAATACTGGAAAGCATAATTGCAAGCTTAATTTCGTCCAAACTTGGCATGCTCTCATCATTTTGTACTGGCTACATTACATCGCCCCAGAGAATTAGCTTCCTATTTACGTTGAAATTGGTAATGCCAAATACCTAAAAATTTTTACAGTTTTATTTTCAAAATATATAATGTGCATATTCCACCTCGCCAATACAATGATGTCGTATGAAACATACTCTGGCTCAGGCTCTGCGAAGCTGTACTGATATCTAAATATTGTCATTCCATATAAAGTAAATATCTTAAAATCAAACGTATTGTCCTTCTCTGCGGCGGAAAAGAGATCGTAAAATCGTGAATTATAGTTTCAGGAGTGTGTAATAATGCAGGAAACTTTTAGCATAAATACATATGTCGTTCAAAAGCAAATCAGGTACATGACAAAATTGGTATTAGCAATAGGATATGTATGAGACTCGAGATAAGGTAACGATAAAGATGCCAGCCTGCACCCTGAAGTGGTTTGATGCCATGGCCCCATTTGCGCCCGTCACACCCACTCAGAGGTGTATAAAACAGGAAAAAAGCCCTGTTTTCATGTATTTACTTCAACTTTCACAAAATATCCAATTTTGCTCGTATATTGATAAAATATACAATTTTGTAATCCTAGATATATTCAGTAGATATCTCAATACCACAACTTGATCAAATGTCATATCAGCCCGGAAATTTTGTCACATCATTGGACTAGCATTAAAAACTGCGTCTAATGTGTATAGCTTCTGGTTATGGTAGAGGGAGGATTTAAATATTATGGATAATTTACAACGGAGGTCTCCCAACGTACATATGCTCACACATTTTAATCATTAACTTATGTAGTTGCATACATAAATATGTATAGAGATTTATTTTGTCGTCAAATGTATCGATTTATTATGTTAGCCAGACCTATTTACAGTGGGCTCAAACAAATTAAACAAAAGAAAGCTGGAAATATAATATGCATACAGGAAAATATGTACGGAAAATCCTCAAATTATGTAAGAAAATATTTAATATCTACGAAAAGCCTAAAATATGGAAAACCATGTTTGAATTTTTGCAACCGTCGTTAGACAGGATGTCAGTATACGAAATTTTATTTCGATCCGATTTGATATGAAAAACTTCTAAATAATATGTATTTACATACATATCCGCCGTCTGGTGATCAGATAATAATGAAAATAACAATTGGGTCAGATTTTCAAAAGAAAAATTGACGCCGACATTACGAACACTCAATTGACCCCAATTACTTGCTTCGGCGGGCAGCTCGCAGGTTGGAAATGTGTCCCATGGATTGCACGCAGGTCTGCTGGAGCATCTGATATCTTGAAAGGTCGTCAGTATCCGGCATATTCTCCAAAATGAATTCCTCCTAACAACATAAATGACAAAATTTTCTAAGATACAAAACAGAAACGAGCACGTGATTAGATTTAGATTTTGACAAATTACAATTTCATCATGACTCTCAGCGATTAAGTTGGGCAGTATTTCTTGCAAGAATTTCACCACCATGAGAAGATTAATAGTGGCCGGCAGCATGGCCACAATTGCTGACCGGGAAGCAGTTACGTGCTGAATGGCGAGATTCTTCACGCTCTGGATTTTCTCCTGCAACTAGAGAAATAGGTTGTTACCATTATAAAATAAACCGTTACAACGCATGTAACCAAGGGTTGAAAGAAGTGTGTCATACGTTAAAGTGAATATTATATTATCTTCGAAAATTTGTTAAAATTTACACTTATAGCGTGATTTTCGATGTTTGTGTCTAAGATGTACCAAATTTAACAGTTGATAACCCTTATCTGACCTTTGGATGGCCTCTGAGGTCAAAATGGAGGTCACCATTAAATTCGACGTTGAAAAATAGTTAAAAATGATGTGTCACATGCCAAAACTGAAATGTGACACTTTTTCGTCACTTTTCGTCACTATGACGACGTCATCGTCACAGGGGACGACGTCAGAGTGCCCATCTTCGAACTCGTCCTGTCCCTTGACGTTAGGAGTTTACGTTCAAAATTTCAAGTCTCAATGTCTTCCCGTTCAAAAGTTATCGGAGCTACGGACAGACAGACGGACAGACGGACATAACGATCTTATAAAGGGCTTTCACCCCTTAATAAATCTGTGCATAATTTACACTCTAAGACACCCGGTAACTAAGTTATTATCGGCGGAGTACCCATTTCATTGACTCTACCGCATGGTAATTAATTTATTATTGAGTGGTAGAAAATTAGTTACCAACTGGTAATATTTTCCAATTTCTCGACCGGGGTTATTACCGGTTTGGTAACAAAATGTCTACAACTCAACAATAAATAAATTACCGTGCGGTAGAGTCAAATATTTATATACTCCGCCTGGTAATAACTTCGTTACCGGGTTTGTTAGAGTGTATGAAATAGTCAAAAATAAACAAATAAGTACGCACATCCTTCTCCAGGGGACTGGAGTCATCCATGCTTGATTTTTGCTTGTCCAAGTAAGAAACCGAGGGGCCGCCCAAAAGTTTACTCACCGGAGAGAATACTTTCGAACCACCCATATGAAGGACCACTTTAAGGGCTGGCGAGGCATCGGACACGACATCCGGATTAAGGTACACCTGATGACATTTAATTATAGAAGTCATCAGGTTTTTTGCATTTCCTTGCTTGGTTTTCCACACTTTGTTCCAGTTTTGATTGAATCATTGTCATTAGTACGGGATGATCAGACAGTTTCACGCTCGCCAAATTGCAGCAGTTGCCAATCAGCAGTTTGGCTTCATCAATGACGGCGGTCGTGGGTTCCACAAGCTTGGCAAGCTCGTCATGCACGACCTTTTGAAGTACAGCGTTTAGATTGTATTGGAGGTAATTCACCCCAGCTGAGTTCACGATGACGTATCCAATAGTTTCCTCACTAATATCATAGATTTCAGAGTGCAATTTTTCTTTATGGTGTTCCACCATTTTGGTAATTTTAGACCCTGAACTGTAACCAGTAGTGGTCGGCGAAAGTGTGGAGGTATTTCCTGTCAGGTCGACGATGATGGAGTTTATGATGTCGTCCATTAACCTGTTTTTAATTATTTGTATTTATCCTATTTACAAATGCTGAATTACTGTATCCTCTGTATTGATTTATATAAGATATGAGTTTTTTAAAAGGGAGTCGTGTCCGAAGTCTGGGGATATCTTACAGTTACGTTAAGTACACTGTAAGTAATTTGGTAATAATTATTGTGATTTATTACCGAATTCGTAACGTATATGACTCTGCAGATACGGTAATAACGCGCATTAAATTTGGTATAGATTTGGTAATAAATCTTAACCATGTTGGTAATAATTTCTTACCAATTTGTAGTAAAAAGCTACCAACTGTTGCAAAAACCTTTACCAAAATTCGTAACGTATATGACTGTAAAATTATTTACAGTGTATATTCTCCACATCATGCCATTAGTTTGAAAGTTTGAAAATGAGCCATGAGACCTTAGGGCACGATTTAAAAAGGAAAACTTTTAGACAACCCGTATTTTGTGCAAGCGAATGACGAGCATATAGAAATTTCACAATAATTACGAAAAAGCCACTTTTATGTGACCGACTAACCTGTAAATCTTGCTGGTGTGAAGCACTACAAAGTGGAGTAAGTTCCTCAATTTTGCACGTTGCCTCCTCCAGCCCTTTCACTATGTCGGCCTTTAATCCTTTTAAGGAAGAAATGATTTTCATCCTGAGCAATTCGTCCATGACCGAGGATAGATAGCGCGTTCCAAGTTTCCCCGCCAGGTGGTCAAATTCACGGCGCTCCGCAAAGAAAACTTGTTCCTTCTCGCGGGCCATTTCAATCGTCACTCCATTCCCAATATGCTAAATTATGATAAAACAATTATCAATTATATCCCAGTCACCAGTCCTTGAATCTGTGACGAAGACAAAATGTAGTCGTTTTATAAGAAATGGTTTAATTCGGGAGTAAGCAAGAAATGCAAGAAATGCAAGGTGCAAGAAATGCAAGAAAGTGCAAGAAACGTAGCGCCATCTAGCGACGCGCCTTCAGAACTATGGCGGCGGGAAGGAGTTTCTTGCACTTTGCATTTCTTGCGGGTAAAAATTGCTGCAAGAAACCAATTTGTTGCGGTTATTTCTTGCAGGTGGTTACTTGCACCCGAAACACTGAGGATAGGGGTGGGTGGGTGGATATGAAAATCTCGGTTAACGGCCAACGTATTATGTGGACGTTCCCTAGACAATTGAGGAGGTCGTTGAGTTTCACCATTTTCTTCCCTCGTCGGAAAATATGTTGCAATTTTGAGGGATTTCTCCCATGACAATACAATGCTAAATTTTAACATTTTCTTACATAAAATTTGGATATTTCCCAATATAACGCAATGTTAAATATTTGAATTTTCAGTTTTTTTAGTTTTATAAAAACTCCCAAATGTCTCCTCCCGCGCCATGACGGCAACATACTTATACCGCCCCCGTATTAATGATGCATTTTCTTGTCGTTAATCGTACACGTTAAAGGGTTAAGGACAGAAAAAATTCAATATTTCCAACACTTAACGGCTTCTGAGCGAAGAACGACCCCCACATGGCCCCACTTCAAAGGGACAACCTTATTGTCCAACTCGGCCATCGCAATATCTTGGGCGCGGTCAAGCTTGGTAATGACACCGATTGTTCTTGCTCCTTCCGGGTCGACCTAAACAAAATTAATAAAATCCAATAAAAGTTTAAATGTCGGAACAATTATAATATTCAAATATTCATACATGTTCACATTTATTCATTTCAAGATGAATGAACACATTATTCATTTAATATTCAAAAATTGAATGAATATATTATTATAATTTTTTTTATAAATGAATATTGAGTGAATATCAATTCACTTCGTGTGAATGAATAATGAATAGATATTTTTTTCATCGTTCATTGTTATTAATTCAATGCTTAATAAATAGGGAAAGTTGAGAAATTCATCTATAGTAATGCCGTGAATTTTGAATAACATGAATAATGAACGAATGGTGAATAATGAATAAATTTTGAATAATTAATGCATATTCTTTTACAAATTATGAATAAGTGAGTAAGGAATGCATATTTTTGTTCAAGACTTTGAATGAATAAATATTTTTTTTTGAACACGTATAATAATATTTAGTGGAATTAAATAAGGCATTTTCTCACCATCATTGCCTGCTCAAGTGCCTGCGACATAACCAAGCCCTCGGCGGTAACCGCGAGAATAATAGTTTCCTCCTTCGAGATATACTCCATTATTGTGGATTTTGTCTGTTCCACAAAATTGTCAGGTTGGCAGTCTAGGCTGAGACGAACAAGTCCTATATTTCATGGGACAATAGTCCATAGTCAAATACATTGGGGGTATTCACGTCATTTATTCATTCACGTCATAAAACCGTCGCATTGGAACACATCTTCGCAACTTTGCGGTGCTTGCGAAATCTGTGTCGTTAACAATCTACATATTTTACATGGCCAATTTTTAAAAAATAAATGCTTTGACGGAGTTAGGGTTAAGGTTGTCTAGCAACATTGCTGAAAATGAGGAGAAATTAAAATTTTTTCGGACGGCGATATGGCAATAAATTGTTTACGACGATATGTTTCATAAAGAAATAAAGCAATCTGATTGGTTGTCGCATCGCAACTCTTCGCAAACATGGCAAATTTGCGAATATATGCTGCGAAGCGACGTTTACAAAATTGACGTGAATACCCATATTATTATGGAATGAGCAAGGACAAAGTTTATAAAATATGAGTATTTGTAAATATAAAACCTGGTAAATCGATCAAATTTAAACCGCCACTTCCGGTGAAAATATCGTCAGCGTGATTGGAATTCTCGAGATATTTTGTCCCGCACCTGCGAGAATAACTGTACGGTTGGCAATTTCTTCTCTAATCCGGGAAAAATCGTGTATCTTTTCCCCAGGTCGATGTAGAAAAATGCCTTGCTCCTGACAATCGGATTTTCGCAAATTCAGAACGAGTGGAGCTCTTGTCGCGCCGCGGGGGAGAAAGTCCTTCCCGACGAGAGATTCAAGGAGGCTGGACTTTCCGGTACCTTTCCCACCCACGAGAGCAAATTGTGGCAGATCTGCGACCGTACACAGGACATGAAACAGTGTAGTAAAGTATCTATATTATAAGCTGGAAATGTTTGTCTGCAACGGAAGTGAAAGTAATTTTCCGTGACGGAAGTTAATGTCAAGAGAGTCAAGTTCCGAATGGCGCGAAAATTCGGAATAAATTAAACTCAAAACATTAAATGTCTTAGGATAGTTATCTTATGAGTGGTTATCTGATGGTGGTTACCTATGAGTAGTTGTCTCTCCTAGAAGCTTGATTTTTTTTTACTTTCACTACCGACCGACATTTCCAGCTTATAATTCTCGCTCACCCGGTGAAGACGGGCTTATACGCTGGTTAATTAATATGTAATTATTGTAATTATAGGTAATTATTAGTATTAATTACAAAATTAATTAATTACGTAATTAATTACAAAAAGTAACAAAGTAATTCGTGATTAGACTTCAGTTATTTTGTGGCAATGTAATTATAATTAGTAATTAATTAATTGGCTTCAATTGCGTAATAAAGTAATTAATTACTCAAAAATAACTCAGTAATAGTTCGATAATAACGTTTTACCATATCGATAGCAAATTTTTACGGATCGGTATAAATTTACCAGTTAACCGATATAATTTTAAGACCAAGGGGTAGGAAATTTGATACCGGGAAATTAATACCCGTGTAACTATACCATGGACACTTTTAAGTAACATTGTAGCTCCATGATTATGTAAAATATGTAATTAATTTGTAATTAAGTAATTAACTACTTTTGACGTAACTGTGGTTGTACTTAATTACCCGACTTATGTAATTAGTAATTGATTACTTAATTCCTTTCTCTTCTCACATTTAATTAAGTAATTAGTAATTAATTACAAACTCAAGTAATTAGCAACGCATAAAAATTAGTAATAATTCTTGAAGGCAAAAATACCACTTACCAAACGCAAATTCCTTCCCACAACGAGCAAATACTTTCCTTATGTTGGAAATGAATGGAACGAAATCCTCGATTTCAGTCAGATAAATTAAACAATCTCAAACTATTAATTATTTGAAAGTATGTAAAATTAAAATTTGAAGAAACCAAGATAATAATCTGGAGCAAAAATAATATAGTATTTTTTGAGTTCTTATTCCTTGCAAGTTAAAACAGCAAGGTTTAATTAACTTCTAGTTGAAAATGTCTCCCAAGGATTTCTTATCACTAAAAATGGGTTCTGATTCACGCCCTGTGACTCATGCACGTGAGGGATGCCGTTAAACAAAGTGGAACGATTAGCCATAGCTGTTCATATTATCTCACCACAATCCACAAAACCACAATCCACCAACCACAATCCACAATTCCACAAACCACAAACCCTTCCACAAACAACAATCCACAATTCCACAAACCACAAACCCTTCCACAAACAACAATCCACAATTCCACAAACCACAAACCCTTCCACAAACTACAATCCACAATTCCACAAACCACAAAAAAATCGTGTTCACATTCCACACCACAGTCCACTTTGTGGATCCACACTGTGGTTTGAACAGCTATGCGATTAGCAAAGTAGAAAATGCAGAGATGCGAAGGAACGGAAAGCATGGAAACGTTTTCCTTTTTCACACATACCTAAATATGTATGTATCTACATATGACATATTTTGCTCGAGCCCTGTAAATGGAGGAACATTCATATATTACGTCATCATTTTAGTGGGTGAGAGGTTTAGGTTTGACTATCTTTGTCATGTTACAATTTCCAATCCTTTGATGTAAATATGTATACGTTGGGTGGGTGGGTGGGTGGTTGTTAGGGTTTAGAGTTTTTGATCACGTAATATATGGATAGCACGTTGCGGTGTTGGATATTATTATACTCTTGGGCATTACGGTCCATAAGATCCAACAGTACAGCTACACATTCGAGCTATATACATACATATCCCAATTTTCAGCGTCACATGAGAACAGTTACGATCTTGCGTGTTATGTATGAATCAGGCGCTTAATAAAGCCTCAGTATAGTATAGTATAGTATAGATTTATTGATATATGGCCTGCAGCCCTCATCAACATGTCATATTTTGGTACATCAATTAATCATTTAAAGTAGTAAGTCGTAAAAATTGAAAACATCAATCCAATAGCAGAATAGCGATTTGAAAAAATTACGGTTAGCTTTGTTATCATTATACATTTCGTTAAAATAAGAAAAATCTTTGGCAAAGGTATATAAGTGTTTGATTCTACTTGGGGTGAGAATTTTGCAGTGTAAAGCGTCAGTAGAGCTTTATTAAGCTTCTCCAATGCGCTTCAGCGGTTCCTTAAGGTCCAAAAGGGATGCATTTATGTAGCTCCTTTGGGGCCTTATTAATAAGCGTATTATGACTTAATCTCTTCCAACACTTTATAAAGTGTAGATCCCCTGACCGGAAAAGATTATAAATTAAGAATAAAATCGTGTTCCCATGCCTGGGTAAAACATTTATCGATTTTTTATTAAAAGTAAGCGAAATAAACTTCATTTTTAACCACCCGTGGAACCTTCTCCTTTGTGCATAAAAGAGGCATATGCGTTTCCGAGCTAATTTTCTGAGAATTTGCATGCAGGGAATTGCTACACAAGAAAATTCCACCAGATGATCGACCAAAGTTAAGTTGCGGAGTTTAAAAATTCGAGATAAATACTTTCGATTTAACGCAACATACAATTGATTTGACGCGATAGGAGTAACATAAAAATTTAATTGGCTCCTCCTATAAATGGTAATGACATTAAATGTCCGATTGGTTGATTTTAATTAAGCTACTCCAGGGCCGTACCGTGAAATTACCGAGCTTTTGGATACCGGATGCCAGTTAAACGGTCCAACGAAAATACAGTTTTATCCAACCAAAATTAATGATATCGCCAATAATGCAATGTGCAACGGGTTTCATTTTTTTCCAACGAAAATGTAAAAGCATCCACCCAAATCATAGATGTTTTTCACACATATCCTATTAGCCCACTTTGCAATTACGAAATTACGATTTCAATTACGAAACCTATCAGGACAGTTTGCTTAGCCCGAACCGGGATTGCTTAGTAAACCCATGTTCTCACCAACTCAGTCTTTCTCTACTGCTCTCCGATTTGGGGACTATCATTAGAAGCAGACCAGCTTGAGCAACCGCAATGTCAATTTTGGAAGCGTCTCTTGCGCCTGCCAAAGTCCACCCCAGGATATGTTGTCAGATTAGAGACCGGAAGCCAACATACATCTCTCCAAATGGTGAAAGCAACTCTGCGCCTTATTTGTAAAATCCTACAAAAAGATGATAACACACTACTCGCACAATGTTTAAAGTGGCAGTTGAGATGGGAGCCCAGAATCTCATCAGCAAAACGAAGCTGGGCAAAACAATTAAAAAAGTGGCTTAACCTAACCGAAGACGGTTACCTACTCTCGCAACCCTACGATCAACTCAAAAATGTGTTTCCGGAACAGAAGCAACTCATAATCGGCAAACTGACTACATTCCTTCTCAACAAGCACACACTTCGAATGACCGACTCGGCCTGGACACCAGACTACTCAAAAATCAAAACCCACGCTTCCACAGAAAAATATTTGCTACTAGATCCTGCCCTTCCAGCGGCCCAAACTTTAGCACAAACTAGAGTCAATCTTCACCGTATAGTATACAAAGATAAGGTAGCCCCCCTACAAGATAAGGCGGCTTGCCCTTGGTGCTCCCTCGGAAAATCAGCCTCAACCACTATCTATTCGAATGCAACTCACTCATCGACCCCAGAAAACTTCTACAAAGCAACTTGTCCCCAAACTCAAACTCCCAAGACTTCACCCACTTGTACAACAACAACAATAATAACTCAAATTTTTGTAACGCAATTTTCGCCTTCTGGTCAACAGCTTTCAGCAAACTCCCAAAACAAAGTCCTCAACTACCGCAAAGCATATAAAAATCGCAATATGTAATTATTAATGTATGACTATGCAAACGGATGATAATATTTAATTCAAAAGTAAATCTTCCAATTCTACCCGTGCCAAATGGTGCCACGCTTCTCGAGGCAGGCCAGGTTTTATCCCACGGGTTTCCCTGCGCCCACGGGATATCTGTTCTCATTTCGTTTACTAAGCAATATTGTATTGATGAGGGCTCATGGCCATATCAAATGCTAATAAATAAATAAATAATAATAGTAAACCCATGTTTATCTCTACTTTCTATAAAATCGTGTTCTACTACTTTGCACTAATTCTTGTACTATCATCAATTATTCGTATTATATAAATACTTGGTTCCAAATTCTTAAAAGATTTACTATCCCCTTCCCTTGACTACTTCCCATGACCAGAGGGAATCACCACTATAAGTTATTTTTCGGCTCCATTCTAAATTTCAACTAACTAACTATATAAAGTCTTAGAAATCGGTAGGGGTCGCCCCATATAATTCCCGTCTGCCCAATTTGTGTTCATACTTATATATCGGCTCATCGTCGCCTTCCGCAGGTGTCAAAATAGTCGAAAATCTAGGTTTTTCATCCGTTTTGCGAAGTTTAGCCGATATCACTTGGCTTTAAAAGCGTTTTATACTGCCCCAATGTATGTCTGGCACCCTTCCTTTGTCATGCCGGGTTAGTCCCAAAAGTAATTAATTCTTCCAAAAGTGCCATTGTGCAATATATTCAGTTTTTAAATATAGCAGAATTAGCCAATTACCTTGCAATTTTTTATGCAAGTTAGGATTTTTTTGATGGGGAAAGTATCCTCGAACTATCTGAACTGCGTTGGGTTTCAAGTATTTTTTGATGCCCCGCAATCCTAGCTTGTTTCGGTTGTTTACATTTTCAATAAACCCCATACCCTGCACTGGATAATGATATGGTGCTTATTTCCTTGTGCCGGCGAGAAGACTTTCCCTTTGATATTATTGTATTGCAAAAAACATTTCACAACAAAACTTAAAAATACAAAAGTTATCAACAAAAAACCGAGGGAAAAAGTCATTGGGAGAAACTTTTTAGGACACCCACTATACCAGAGTTGTTGTATTTAAATACTTCAGTATTTAAGATCAGTATTTAATTACCGAGTTTGGGTATTTATTGTTTATTATTTAAAATTTAAATACTGAATTTCAAGTATTTAGTATTTATTATTTAAATACCTGAGTGGAAAAAATGTATTTAGCTAATTAGTATTTAAATATTTTAAATACTGCAGGTATTTAAAAATTAATTATTTAAATACTAATTTTGTTTTACATGATGCAAAACTCGAAATTTGGACGTTGTTAATTACCGAATTCACAGCATTCATTTGGTGTTCTGAGGTATATATTAATTTTATTAGGACAAAGTCAAGCAGATTATAACAGCCTGTATTTTATAATATTTGAAAATTGATTGTGTGAAAATTTTAGTTCAATTGAAAATTTAAAGAAATCATCTGTGTTTTATCTTTTTAAGCATCTTCACATTGGTTACTCATTTTCAGCTTGTACTACAAATTATTAATTCCACATATCTTGTCTTAATCTAATTTTTATAAACATTCATTTTGTTCATTCATTCATTCATTCACAAGCACTCACTTTGTTTGTTGACGATTCCACTTGAGAGTATAGATCTAAGCTATTAAGAGTTGGTAATTCAGATGCTACCACTAGTTAAATACTATTTAACCTTTTCCTTCATAAGAGAATTCTCAAAAATATCCCGTTGCTGCGAAATAGCAACGCCTCACAACCATAGCTTGTGGCGTAGCACTTTTTTAATTACCAAACTTTATCACGGAGCCAATGTAAATTTCAGTGATATGTTCCATGGATATAAATATTTCCAAAATTATTCAACTTTCTGTGGAGGCATTTCACTTCAAAAATGATGTAATCATGGAGACATTTTAGCCCGACTCAGGACTTATGTACCCGTGTTGTTCATCCGCCCGTCTTGCGTCTTGACCTTCGTGAAACTTATTCTATCAACTTGAAATTTCGGAAAATGACAAAGTAATAGTACAAATAGTACAAAATTTAAAGTCGATAGGATAGATTTACGAGAGTTATTGACAGCCAGACAGGCAGAGACACACCGGACAAAGCAGGTACATGCATA